CAGCATTCATTCACATCTTATACCAGAGGAAAAAAATAATGAGAGTCCTAAAAATACCTATATTCAAAAAAAGAAAAGGAAAAAAATTCAACCCTTAATCCCATATTCCTTCTCCTTAAAATAAGTAACTGAGCTTAGAGTATGACATTTAGAGCAGAAACTGTGTCCCTGCTCCTGTCTTTTGCTTAATTATCATTGGATCTCTGCAGTGATCCTCTGCTCTATGAAAATGAAGTTATCGTGAAACATTTATTGAACACCTACTACTTGCCAAGCATAGTACCAGACACGGGAGTTCGGAGATGAAAATGGGATGGGCCCTCGTCATGTGTCTGGTACCCAATTCACTGGCAGTGTCCTAGGGACCCTCCTAAATGGTTGGTGCCATGTTCATGCCCACTTGTCAAAAGAGGAAATTGAGGTTCCACATAAGCACATTGGCTTGACCCTTGAGTCCCTGGGGTACTTGGATGCCTAGGGGAGGTCTCACCTGCCCCCCAGAGAGCCAGGCTAACTGGAAAAGAAGGGGGCAGAGCCTGAGATTCCCAAGGACACGCCTCTGACAGTGCAAGGGAAGAAACGCCTCCCGAGATCATGTTGGACTGGAAAAGGCCTCCTTCCTTCTGCCCCGGCTCTTGATTCTGGGGAAATGACCAAGGTAGCCCCGAAGCAACAATGACAAGTCAAGGCTGTCCCTGGGGTGCCATGGAGATGACCAGCTCTTCCCAACAGCCTTCAGGTCCTTATGACCACTGCACTCTTTCCTGCTTCTTGCCATCACAGCTTGCCTACAGGAAAAATGGTGACAAATAGAGCCAACTCTATGTGAGTGGCCGTCCTGGACCTCAAGGGATTCAGGCTGAAGCTGGGGAGCACAAGTGGAGGGAGAAGATGGGCCTGCAGTCACAGAGGCCTAGGGAGACTTGGACGCCATCTGACTGTCCACTCCACGAGGTGACCCACAGCTGAGCATCTACCCTGAGGACCAACTGGGATTCAAAGGAAGCAGAAAGAAGCGCAGAGTGGTCTGCGATGGATCAACGGAAAGTCATCATGATGGGGAGGGAGAGTCCCCGACAACACGCCGCAAGCAGAGCTAACCTTGCCAGGGCATCGGGAGGGATCCTGAGGAAGCACGAGGAGATGGTGGGAGGGTCACCAGGCCCAGAGCGGCATTTCAGCAATAGGGAGACGGAGCGTGAAAGCCAGGAGGACAGGAGGCCCAGCACCACGAGGGGCACCCAAGGAGACATCGGTGGGACCAAGCCCTTTATAGTGCCACATTTATGAGAGGACAATGCCTGACATGTTGTTGGAACCCGCTCAATTGTGGCCTCCTAAAGAAAGCTGGCCCCTGGAAAGAACTGTCCTGCTGCAGGCAGAGGGAACTAGAAGGTGGTGGCAGCCCTTCCCAAAGCCAAGACCCTGCAAGACAAGAAACCTGGGCCTTCGAGTCCACCCAGAACCTTCCAGCCTGAATGCAGAACTCCACAGGGTGCGAGCCAGTCTCTGCTGGAAGCCAGCAGGGCAAACCCTGTGAACCCCTCAGCAGAGGGCAGGTCAGGCCTGCTCAAGGAAACCAGTGCAGTTCTCAAAAAGAACGACAGACCTGCATATAAAGTGAGACACAGATCTCTGAAGTGCTTGTTAAATGAGGAAAAAGTAACAGAGAACAATGAATTCAGCAGGCTACTGGTAATTAAGATGCGGAGGTGCGTGCCGGAGACTGACTCAGGCACCGCTCACCTCTGCAAAGATAAACCCAGGGCTCCTAACACTTCTTGCCTCTGGGTAGAAAACCCAGGGGCCACAGTGAAGAGGAGATTTGTTTTTCACTGAAAACCTTTTTTAACTACTTGACTTTTTTTAGCATGTGTAAAATAAGATTTGTCAAGAGTCCAAGATTTTGAAACTTCAACTGTTAAAAAAATAAAATAAAATCGAATCTTAAGTCAGACCCAGATGTGCCACTTCTCACGGTGGGATGCTGGGCCAGTCACCTCATTGCTAAGCCTCAGTTTCCTTTTATGCAAAATGGGGATCATAAATAATTAATTGTAGGGTGGATGAGGGTTAAATAAAGCACAGATGCTTAAAAGTATGCAATCAAATTTTTGGCAGACAGTAGTTACCCAGTAAACATCAGCAATTAATATCAGTAGTTCACCATTCATGTTGGCTAGGTGACTGCACCAAGTTCCGTGGTGACAGTAGTCATCTACCATTCTTTCAGCATAAAGGATACCACAGAGTCCAGAGTGGGCCTACTCTAAGGAACAGAGTCGCGGCTCAATTCTTGTCTGCCCTCAGGGCCCCTCTCCCACAAGGCCTGCCTTGGAGGAGGCAGGAACACCTGGAGTTGGGTGGAGACAAGAAGCCTTGCCTGCTCAAGTCTGCTCCACTCACAATGGGGAAAAGAGGTCAGCACCAGGACTCCTGAACCCCGCAACTCCACTGTGCTTTCTTAGGGCTGCAGATACATGGACAGGTGGAGCCACAGTGGACACTGCCCAAGTCTTTAATGTGGAGAAGCCACTGCAGAGAAACCCTCAGGACTTGTTCAGAAAGACACAGACATTTAATGCACGGCCCCCAATTACCCCTGCTCCCCAAATTCCCTGGAGTAGGTGCAGCATGAAGAGAGAAGACAGACTTCAGATCCGAGTTTGAACCCAGCTGTGTGCACACTTCTCAAAGACAGGGCCCTCTCAGAACCTCAGTGGACCTGTGGAATGGTGGTGTCACTCCATCTAACTAACCCGAGCTGGGAAGGGGCTAAGTGGTGTACCGAGGAAGAATGACCCCGAGTTGATAGTGCAGAAGCTGCCTGAGGGGATGTGAGTTCCTCAGATGAGTCTCCTTGATTTAATGCATATTGGAAATTTTCACCATGATTAAAAGTGAGTAATCAAGCCAAAGACCGAGAGGGGATATTTACAACACACGCAAATGAAAAATAAATGAAACGATCCGCAAAGAGTCAGGGAGGAAACAAATAATCCAAGAGAAAAATGGGCAAAGCTTTGAAAAACCAGTCACAAGAGTAGAAACCAAAACAGGCAGCAGCAAACCAAAGGGCGGCCAAATTCCCTGTGGCCAGGAAATACAGCCCAGATGCTCGCGCACTCGAGTGCTGGTGGGTGTAAGAGTGCTGGCGGAGATCTTGCACAGCTAGAGGATCACACGAAGGTTCATCTACATTGCAAGATGGTGGACCTAAAAAAAGTTCCACATGCCAAAGCTTGGCAACTCCACACCTGGCCACTTAGAGAAACAGGTGTACGATGGCCCTGGGAAGTGATGATAAAGGGCTGCTAATATCACAAAGAGGGACAGCAGACCTTATCCTCTCCTCGCATACAACAACCCCAAGGATGGGGCAAAATTAAACCTGAATTCAGCCTACAGTTCCAAGTGCCAACCTAAGGAAATACAGGAAGGAGCGTGTCTAATGGCACCAGAGGCTCAGGGGGTAAATGGTGTGAGGCAAATGACCTGGTGTCTTCAGCAAACAAGCTGATTGGGGGAGAGGTGGGGAGGGGAGAGGGAGGACAGGGAGAGGGAAGGAGAGAGGGAGAGAGATAAGGGAGGAACAAAGAGGAACCACAAAGAGGAACCCGAAGGAGCAGCTGAACACAGAGACGGAAGAACGGTGGGTACCGAGTTCTAGGGGAGGAGGAGGGAGTCGGTGATTAATGGCGATGGTTTCAGCTGGAAGACGGGGTGTTTGCTGCATAACATGGGATGGGCTGAACTACACATGGTCAGGATGGTGCATTTTATGTTATATATATATATATATTTTTTTTACCATAATTTTTTAAATTATGGAAGACAAAGACACATAAGAGACATATCAGCCAATTATAATATGTGAACCTCATATGATCCTGAATTCAAAAAATTATGAAATAATGGAATGGTTGGAAATTCAAACACCAATATTCGATGGTGAATGGGAATTATTGGTAATTGGAGGTGATAATGATACAGTATTTAAGTTTTCTTAGTTTTGGACATATATAGCACAGTGTAGAGAAGAAAGTAAGAATAAGTAACTTGAAACAAGACTGGCCATGACCGAGAACCGCTGCACTTGACATTGGACGACATATAACAGTGCGTTCTAGTTATTCACCTCCCTGTGGGCTCCAACCATTTTACACAATAAATAAGTTTTAAAATGAAGAAGCTGCTACATGCGGGCACCAAAGGACCAGTGTTGGACTGCTCACAGTAACGGGTCTCAGTAGTAAAATGCAGGGAACAACCTATGAGCTTATGACGGGATAAAAAATATTTCAGTGTTTCATTAAACACAAAGTGAATGAACTAGATTTAGGGCTTCTCAACCAGAGGTGCCTGTGCCCCTAGGGGGACACTGAGCAATGTCAGAAGCCATATGTGGTTGTCACAACTGGGAGAGGTGAGGCTACTGCCTTCTGGGGAGTGGAAACCAGGGACCCCCAGTGCAAGGGGCAGCCCCCATGATGGAGAACCACACAATTCAAAGCATCAGCACTGCTGTGCTTGAAAATCCCCATGCTAGATGGACATGGGATGCACTCCTCAAACCACAATACTGAATTAAAAACAAGTGACAAACAGATATGACACATACTATCACATGAGTCAAGCAAAGAACACAAAACCCAGGCTACTCGTGGAAATAAGTGTACTAAAGTGTAAAAACCTGGAGGGGAAGGCTCTGTGCCAATGTCAGACTGTTAGAGTAACAGGGCACGTGGCTGCAGAATTTGAACCACTGCATGTATTCCACCTCTTCCCACCCGTGAAAGAGCGAGGTCCCAGGGTCCTGTAGTTCACTCTGGACAGTGGGGACAAGGAGCTGCCTTCTGGAGTGTCTGTGCTCTCCCACAGCCTTGATACTACCAGTGATGCACACACCAAACAAATCAATGGGGCTGTGGGCCGTGAGGCCAGTAGATGGGGAGGGAGGGCAGATGGCAAGGCTAGACCCGCCAGCAGGGAGCACTCACCGGGCCCCGGAGGTCGATGAGCTCCTGCCTCATCTGGGACACCAGAGCTTCCTTGGCCACCAAGGCCCTGTGCAGGCGCTCGTTGAACTCGATCAGCTCTCCATGCATCTCTGCCACCTGGAAAAGACAAGCACCACACCTTAGCACCCAGAGGCAGACCTTCCCCCATGGCCTGTCCCCGCTCCTATGTCCTTATTCCTGCTGTGGTTCAGCAGGGCTGGGGCTAGAGACGATGGCGTTGCTTACCTAGGAGATATGCAAATCCACTCGAAAGTAGAATATGGTTTGATTTGCTTGATTTTAACACTTTGGAGGTGCCAGGCCACAGTTCATGGTCAAAATCTGGCTGTATCTAACCATATCTAGACCTTGGAACATAGGCTCGATTTTTCTAGAAAGGTGTTTTCTCCCTAAGCTGTGCCACGTGTGTCCAGAATGTCCCTACTAACAGCACAATGAGAGTGACTGCAACCATTCTGAAAACTAGGAACGCAGAGCCAGAGTCTTCTCTAGGGTGGTGCCAACTATGGTGATGGACACAACAGCCAGTGCACAACTATATCCCAGTTGCTGCCAATTGTGTGTCAGGATAACCCCGCCATATGTGCCTCCTGGCTTCACCAGAGGCTTTCTGGGAGGCAGAGACTGCTACTCCCACATCACAGAAAGAAAAGCTGCATATCAGGAGTCTAAGCTATCTGCTCAAGGTCATGCCATTGGCAAAGGGCAGACCAGAGCCCTGGCTGTGCGCTATGATCCTGCCATTGCATGGTGCCCAGATGCACCCCTCAGGCTCGCAGTTAGCAGGGGAACTTCTCTAAACTGAATTATTTGGGCTGACACCAAATAAATGAAAATGGAGGTGGCTATATGGTAGGCTATATCAATGTACAGCCACTCAACTACAGTTTCTTTAAACATTGTAGAGAAACGTGAGGTGTCATTCTACTGTGCTGTCACAGAACCCAGCAAGAAGACACCCACAAGCACCTTCCAGGGCAGTTGTGGAACGTGAGGTGGAGGAGACCCTCACTCAGCCCGGCCCCTGCCCTGCCCAAGAGCTCAGCCCCCTGAGCTGACAGAGCCCTGAGTACCAACTGAGGAGTGCTCACCCACGGGGCTACTGGGCCTCTTGGGGTAGGTTATGGGAGATACAAACCCACTGTAGGAATGAGGAAGGGAGCAGCTCTGTGGGGGACAGGCAGGGCCACTAAGTCGGGTCTCCCCTGGAGCAACAAAGGGAGGCCTCCCTTCTGCTCCTCCCTCATACTAAGGGCAAAAGGCACAGAGGGAAAGAGGGGCACCGGGGTCTGCCTCAGGGCGCTCCCCTCCCATTCTCTACTTTTCCTTCCTTTGGTCTCTCAGTCATGAGTACTCTCTTGTGTATCCCAATGAAACTCTAAAGAGTTAAACTCCTTAAGAGAGTCAGACGTTCCTCACTGAAACAAAAGAGCCATTGCGCCATCAGCACAAAATGTATCCAACTCCTGTCCCTGGGACACTTATGTCAACTCCAATGCACTCCCTTGTTCCAAGGTGTCCCCCCAAACTATGTGCAACACTAAGTGAAAATTGCCCAGAGATAGTGCAAGAAGCATGCAATTAGCCACGGGAAACATCATTGAGCCATTTCATCAGCTTTTTTCTTTAAGACCCAAAATTAGTATTTCCCAGTTGCCTTACTCCTTTTGTGTAAGGAAAGCTTACGTCGATCCTCTTTCAGCCTTTAACAAACCAAGACAGCATCTCTAATAACATCTGAGTGAATCCTCACACAAGAATCACACAAACCCTCCATGAGCTTCCTCCGGGCTGTGATCCACTTACTACAAAGCCACCAGGAGCACACAAACACCTGCTAATGGGCCCAACAAAGTTCCAGTTTAAATAAATGCCACTGTCATTCCAAAAGCAAAGACAGTTTTGTAGTCTTGCCTCTCCATTGTTTGGCAGTGGGATCAGAGTGCTGCCGCAGCTGCCCATCAAAGCACGAAACACCGAATGTTCCAGGTTCAGGTGCTGTTTGTCATGAGCTTTCAAAACCCAGGTTCCCTTTTGCAGCCAGAAGATGGAGTGGACCACATTCAAACACCCATTTCACTGGGCAATGAGGGAGGGACCCAATGCAATGGAGAAGACATAACTTGATGAAATAATTTCATCATGAAACTGTGGCATCAAGCCCACCTCCAAAACTGAGCTTCTCTACCGCATGTTCCTGTAGTCAGTCACTGGAATATACAGCCTTCCTCTTACATAAACCATGAAGCTCCCCGTTTCTCAAATAATCATCCCCAAACTCTGGCACAACTAGAAATAAATTCAAGACTTAGAGACGCCTCGGAGATCACAAGTATTTCCCAGTAGGCTGCAAAACCACTGCCACCTGAAATTTTCATCAAGCTTGCAGGGCACACACGGGTCTCCTGTGATCATCTTATTTACAATGGCCAGAGAGAAATGCAGGAAATGGGTTACAGAGAGAAAATGTTGTTCCCATCCACTCTGCCCCAAGTAGCAGTGTTCTTCCAAAGTCACATCTCATATTGTCACCTTTTTTTCAATACCTTCAATGTTTCCCCCACCCTAAGGATGAAATCCTAACTCCTCTCTTCAATCCCACCTGTTGCTCTCAGTGTCTCCCTAATGTCACTCAGCCCTACAGGATGCGAATTCCACACTCATGCTAAGATCTAGGAAGTCACCAGGTAGCAGAGGAAACTGTAGGTGCAAAGGCAGGTACCAGAGGCTGGCAGGAAGTTGAGAGGGGGATAAGGTCAAGCTTTGGCGTGAAACAGGACTGGGCCCATTTGGCTACTGACAGTGTGCTTGGTGCAAGACAGGGAGCCCCCATAAGCCTGAAGCTCATCATCTACAAAATGGGGATCAAACTCCACTCTGGCCTCACTGGGCCACCATGCAGAGGAAACAAGAGTGCACTTCACAGGTGTGGCAGGGTGAATGCTGAGCACAGGAGCAATTTTCCACGACGGATACTGATGTCGGAGACATGGTAGAGGAGACCAAGAAGCAGGTCTCTAGAGATCAGCTGGAAAAGGGCCCTCCCCAGAGATCGTGCCTCCTGAACAGGATGTACCACATTAGGGAGCTGGGTGGCTGTGGGGAAACTCACTGTCCCCAAAGCAAGAATGTCATGGAGTTGCTAACCATCTGCCAGGTCGCTAACCACACAATTCACATGCTGTTACATTTGGTCAGACAAACCTCGATAGAGCCACTTGAGGGAAGAGGGGTGTCAGAGAAGGGCTCTCCAAGAGACACTCAGGAGTCACCATCTAATGGACCTTGTGTGCCACACAGCCTTCAGGGGCAAACCCCTCCCTACATCCCCACCAGACACATGTTCTGGATCGTCAACGCTCAGGGCCAGTTTGAGATTCATGACTCTTTCTGCTCTTAGTGGTTTTGTTCCATGGCAATTACCCTGAAAATCTTTAGGAAGGAAGTGCCATTTATCGACACCAATGACAGTGACAAATCAAAAGTCAAAGCCAGGTGGAGAGACAATGAACATGGCTGATAGCTCCCAGCACCCAGGATGAGCCAAAGGATGAGGCATGGAGACCTGGTTCTCAGAAAGGCCTGAGGGGAACTAGAGGCTAGAGGAAGATGTGGCCCTCAGCTATGCCAGGAAGGTACACAACCCATCAGGGCCCAGCCTATGAGTCGCCCTTTGGGTTTCATCCTCTGGCTAGAGAGAAGAAGCTACAGAGATGTAAGGAGTTTGAGTACCAAGGCTGCTCAGGTTCTATCAATGTTTGGAAGTCTCCGTCTTTGGCTTAGCAAATCCCTGCTGCACGGTCACCTGCCTGTCTTCTTGCACATGCGCTCAAAGCACGAATTCAACTGCCAATGGCTAGAACTTGCCTAAATGCTCACAGGGGACTGGTTAACTATCCCAGGGTTCCCTACATTCCTACTGACTGCCCCTTTGGCAGACAGCACTAATCCATCACAATATCCCTTTAGAGGATCCCCAGGCAGCCTTGACCAATGAGTCAGGGGCTTGGCCTAGCCCATGACGTCTATTTAGTAGCCCTAACCTAGAAGACGGGGGATAGTGTCTTCCAGAAGGTGACATCTAAGTTGGGACTTGGAAGATGATGCCTTGGGAGTTTCAGGGGAATGAGAAATCTCTTCCAGCTGGAGTATCAGGGAAGATGATCTCCAAAAATAATGTGGTTGAAAAAGCTTTAAATCTGAAAATCCCAGGGATTATCATAATTACCTGCCAAATCATGAAAGGATTATAAATTGTTTTTTTTTAAGCCTCTGGTATTTCTTTTCATACTAGAATGTTCCATGCCATTACATCCAAGTAAATAATGCCTCACCCTCTTTGAGCTAGGAAAACAGATGTTTCTTGCTTGAGAATGAGACACCTCTCTCTGTCCAAGTGTCCATAGAATCTGAGGCTGTTCTGGTCACATCCTCAAATTCTCCACGAACATTTACTTAGATGGTTCAGAATCCATCTACCACCGAAGGGAACCCTCCACTGTCTTCTGGCCCAGTTCACAGTGGCTGTGGGAGGCGTCTGGAAACCCTCTATAACAACTCCCTGGCACTAGCCAACATCCACACTGCCCTAACACACTTGTGAGCACCAACTGCATACCAGCCCTCTGCAGGCTTTAGGAATCCCCACAGCCTCCCTGCAGGTGGGCACACCTTCCTCACAGGTGAGGCTGTCAAGGTTTGAAAGAGCTGAAGGGTCAGGGTCAGGAAGAGACAGAGTAGGTATGTGGACCTGTGGCCCTACTCTCTGAGGCCTTTACCCAGACATCCTGGGTGGGTCAGAAAGCTGACTCCCTTTGTGGTCATAGAAGGTAAGTCTATCCTACCCAATAGAGGGGAGGGGCATGGTGTGGACCAGGGGCTCAGTCCCATCTGATCATGAGTCACCTGGAGGGTTTCTTTCTGAAAAATGAAGATTTCTGGGCCTCCCTTCGTTGACAAAGGGGGAATCTAAGAAGTACTTTCTGAAGGCCCTAATGACTGCAATGACCAATCGCTGGCAAAGGCAAAGGGGCAGCAGTTCCCAGACATAGCTTGGAATTGCAGCTGGGCCATCTTGTTATGAAAAACACAACTTT